GGACCGGTTAAAAGCTTTGCCACATTCTTCACATTTGTAGGGTTTTTCTCCAGTATGAATTATCTTATGTTTAGTAAGTGTTGAGGACCAGTTAAAGGCCTTACCACATTCTTCACATTTGTAAGAATACTCTCTAGTATGAATTTGCTTATGTTGAGTTCGTTGTGAAAGCATGCAAAATGATTTGCCATGGTTTTTACATTTGAAAGGTTTCTTTCTAGTATGTCTTATCTTACTTCTATTTAAATTGGAAAATTTATGAAAGACTTTCACAAATTTATCACACTGAAATATTTTGCTCTCAGTAGTCATCATACATTGGTTATAACCTCCTTTGTACACCTTACATGCATCCACATGTTTACAGTCTTTTCTTAGCTGTAAACTCTCATGTCCATATTTTCCATATGTTCTCAGTATCCCTTTTTGGAAGGAATCTTTTATGCTCTCCTCTGGCCAAAGGTCTTGGGCAAAATGAGACCATATAACTGAAAAAAGTAAAAATAAGTTACTTCACTTACCAGACTCAGATGAATATACCTGACAAATTTAACCCATAAAAGTATACAAACTACATAAGCAAGATAGCATAACAATATACCACAGGCCCTAATTCCTTCACAGACATATAAATGTAACAAAATCATACTGACCAAAATACATTTGTGGAAAATTTATAAGTGAGTTCAGTGTGTGCAGTGCCTCAGGTGCGAACAATGCAGAGCCACATAGAAGGAAAAGAAAACTGTGTTATGTCTACTCAAAACAGCTCTTTCTGCTCTCCAATAAAACCTAGTGCCTTTAGAAGTAAATTGCCAACTCCTGCTTTCTATTTTAAAAAGCAAGAAAAATACTGGCACATGCATCTTTATTTCTAGCCTGTAGGACCCTTTCCAGTGTGACACTGGTTTCTGTTTAACATGTCATAAAGTGCTGAAAGAAATGGTGGTATACTTTGGAATGACAGTGTGAGTCTGCTGAGACCAAAGGTAAACATTACAGCAGCAGAGAGAATGCAGTACCACAGACAGGGAACATGTGTAGCAAGTGATTACTGACTTACGAAAAAACACAAATAAACTCCTTTAACTAAAAAGTAAATACAAAATTTCAGACAAGACACATCCTAAGAACATGTCTGAGAGACTCCCAGAGTCCCTGGCCAAGACAATTGGTTTAAGATTATGCAGGACAAAGCTACGTAATAAAGATTGTAACAGGCAGCTTTTTTTTAAAAGTCAAAATCTCAAAGATTACAATGTATACAAAATATTAGGGCAACATGGCCCCATCAAAAAAACTAAAATTTTTAGAAAGCAACCACAAAAAATAAAAATGTATAAAGAAATTTAAAATAAATTGAATACGCAATGAATGAAATAGAAACACAATTTTTGAAAATCAGATAAATGAGGATAACAAAAAATATTCAAAATATCAACCTCCCCCACAGAAACTGTGAAAGCAAAAAATACAAAATCAATAACTGAAAAATCATAAAAATGAAGAAGCCAGACAAACTAGGAGACACACAAAGATACTTATGACAAACACGTATTTAAGCACAAACTTCAGAAGTTACAGACAAGAAGAGAACCTTGAGAACTGCAACATAAAACAAAAAAAATTTTGCCAACAAAAATTTTGCAGACCAGAAAGGAACTGTGTGATATAAAGTCCAAAACAAAATTAAAACATGGAATGTAAAACTTATTGGGGGCCAGGTGCAATGGCTCATACCCAATGGCTCAATCCCAGCACTTTGGGAGGCTGAGGTGGGAGGATCACTTGAGGCCATTTTGAGACCAGCATGGGCCAAATAGCAAGACCTCATCTCTATAATAAATAAATAAGTAAATCATCAACAAATAATAAATATTTTAAAACTTACTGGACACCATCAAGTAGATCAATATATTTATGGAAGAAATCTTAGAACACAGAAAAATAGTAGTACAGAGGATGCTTGAGGATAAAAAAGGCTGAGAACTTTCCAAATTTTGATGTAATATGAGAAAAAATATTCCCTGTCAGTAACACTTGGTTAGAAATTATTTTACTAGGCCAGGCGCGGTGGCTCAAGCCTGTAATCCCAGCACTGTGGGAGGCCGAGGCGGGTGGTTCACGAGGTCAAGAGATCGAGACCATCCTGGTCAACATGGTGAAACCCCGCCTCTACTAAAAATACAAAAAATTAGCTGGGCATGGTGGCGCGTGCCTGTAATCCCAGCTACTCAGGAGGCTGAGGCAGGAGAATTGCCTGAACCCAGGAGGCGGAGGTTGCGGTGAGCCGAGATGGCACCATTGCACTCCAGCCTGGGTAACAAGAGCGAAACTCCGTCTCAAAAAAAATAAAGAAATTATTTTACTTTAAAAACAAAACGCTTTCCAAAATAAAAGGTAAGGGTGTTCATTATCCCTTGCACAGTTCTAAAAGAAATATTACATGATGGCCAAGCACCATGGCTCATGCCTGTAGTTCTATAGCTTTAGGAGACCACGGCAGTCAGATCACTTGAAACCAGGAGTTCAAGATCAGCCTGAGCAACATAGTAAGATGCCGCATATAAAAAAAGAAATGCTAAAATAAGTCCATTATATTGAAAAATAAAATAATGTTGGATAGTACCATAAAACCATATATAAATATAAAACTCTCTATTAAATGTAAATAGAGACACACATAGAATTCTTTACTATCATAATGATGAGGCATCAAACCTTAAAGTTCTTCTATAGAATATGAAAAACAAAATACAAATCTGCATGAATCTGTTAATAGAAACACAATATAAAATAATTTGTAATAGTCGTAACAAACTGCAACATGTTTTAAGATGTTTTATATAATCTTCACTTTCAAGATTATTACAAAGATATTTATAGAAACTATGCAAAACAAAAAATAAAGCATGACACTACGAGATTAGAACAAAACTTTAAGCAGTGAAACAGGAAATGAGAAAAAACATATCTAAAAAACACAAGAAACAGTAACAATGAAACTAGTAATAGTAATATCATTTCTTCAAAAAATTATTTTAAATATAAATTAATTAAACTACATAAAAAGAAATGTAATCTCAGGACTTTGGGAGGTCAAGGTGAGCTGATCATTTGATTCCAGGAGTTTGAGACCAGCCTCAGCAACATGGCAAAACCCTGTCTCTACAGAATATACAGGTAGCAAGATCTCATCTCTAAAGATCTGGGTGTGATGGTGCACGCCTGTAACCAGCTACTTGACAGGATGAAATGTCTGGCTACTTTAAAAAAATTTCTGGCTGCGTGCGATGGCACACAACTGTAATCCCAGCACTCTGGGAGGCCGAGGTGGGCCAATCATGAGGTCAAGAGATAAAGGCCATTCTGGTCAACATGGTGAAACCCCATTTCTACTAAAAATACAAAAATAAGCTGCAGGTGGTGGCACGTACCTGTAGTCCCAGCTACTTAGGAGGCTGAGGCAGGGGAATCATTTGAACCTGGGAGACAGAGACTGCAGTAAGCCAAGATCGTGCCACTGCTCTGCAGCCTGGAAACAGAGCAAGACTTCATCTCAAAAAAAAAAAAGAAAGAAAGAAAAATCACACAAAACATCTAAGAGTTCAATAAAAAAAAAAAAAAAAAAAAAAAAAAAAAAAGTCTGTAGATTTGGGTCGTCTCCATATGTTGCCCAAGCTGGCCTCAAACATTTGGGCTCAAGCAATCCTCCTGTCTTGGCCTGCCAAAATCTGACGATTACACGTGAGCCACCACCATGCCTAACCTAAAATGTAAACTTAAATAGATTTAAAATGGTAAATCTTAGGTTATGTGTTTTTACAATTATTTTTTAAATAGAAAAACTAAAAAATACAGAATTATTAATCTCTCCAAAAATTGCCTTCAAATTACTTTGTGTTTCACACAAAGGAAATATATAACATTTATCATTAAACGCATGATGGAAAGAAGACTATTTCCCCTACTTAGATAAAACAACCACTGAAAATCAGCTAAGAAAGAATATACACAAGATAAGCTATAACCAAAATTAAGGTCATACTTACAGATAAAAACACACATATATAATCAGACTGTGATGGACATACAGCTGACTTATTTCTTAATTAAACCCCACATTCACTTAAAGTGTACAAACAGAAGTACAAATTGCTAAAATTGTAAAAACAAGAAACAAAATAAACTGATAAAAAAAACCTACACTAAAAACAACAACAACAAAAACAAAATACTAACATGGAACTGTAAAACAATAAGAGAAATGTTTACTCATAAAATCTGGTTTGCAGTACCGATGTACCGTTAAAAAGAATTTGTCACCAAGGCGTGGTGGCTCATACCTGTAAAGCACTTTGGAAGGCCGAGTCAGGTGGATCACGAGGTCAAGAGATTGAGATCATCCTGGCCAACATGGTGAAACCCCTTCTCTACTAAAAATACAAAGATTAGCTGGGCTGGTGGTGCACGCCTGTAGTCCCAGCTACTCAGGAGGCTGAGGCAGGAGAATTGCTTGAACCCGGGAGGCCAAGCTTGCAGTGAGCCGAGATTGCGCCACTGCACTCCAGCCTGGTGACAGAGTAAGACTCTGTCTCAATCAAAACAATAAAATAAAAAGAATTCATCTGGATAACTGCAATATTTGACTGTAACTGTGTACTCATGGAAGACAAGTATTTGAATCACTGGCATGCACTGTATGGCAGTAAAATTTCACAGAAAATGCAGTATAATCATAAGTAGAAGATTCTAATGAAAATCTTTTAATAAGTAAGCATTTTCAAAAAGAGATAATTTTTATATTTTAAATATATGCTATTCTTACACAAGATGAAACTGCTGCAATCCAACTTGAGAATAAAAGAATACCCTTATATTGCCAAATAGAGAAAAAAAATTATATTTTGCAGAATATGGTTAGTGTCTCTGATATAAAAAACAAGTATTTTGGGGATACATTATGTTATAATTTAGATATATGCTAAAGTAAGTGGGTGAAAATCCTATTTCTTTTTGCCTGCAGCAAATTTAAATTTATAAGTAACTATTTTAGTTACTAACTTTAATTATCTAACTTACTTCAGACATAACATGTAAATTCTAGCATATTGTCCTAAAGGTCTGAATCTAAAATTACAGACAAATTTAAAATAGAAAATAGAAAGTAAAAATGTACAGAAAGAGTGACATCAGGAAGATAGGAAAATAAAAGGTGCATTTCAAGACAAGAATGGTTTGTGAAGCAAGACCCCCCCCATCTCAAAAATAAGTGCATTTTAATAGAGTTTTGAGATCCAGGGAGAAATTGTGAAACTGCTAAACCCAAGACTGAGGAGTGTTTTTTTCAGAAGGCAGGCCCTCATTTAGGTGGCAACTACAGGACACCTGTTCTTGGCTATAGACCAGAAAATGGCCCACTACCCTTTACCATCCAGTAAATAGAAAGTTACTGTTTATAGATCACATAATCTTATATGGAGAAAATCATAAACATTTAAACCTGTCTAAATTAATATGCAGTATGAAGCAGTATAATGACTCAGTTCCAACTCCCTAAGCCACTGTTTATGGCCAGTTCTATCTACAGAGGAACCTACAGAGGGGCCCGGGGAAATCCTCTCCGGTACTTAGTGAAAGCCATACTTATCCATATCCTGATATAAGGTCCACCATACGCAGATTCGACTACAGAAACCTGCCCTAGTGTCTGCCCTACAGAGCAAAGTCCTGGAGGATATTCAGTCTGTCAAAAAATGGAAATTACAAATAACCAAGCCCCTTGTAACAACCCAACTAAAGGTGGAGTCTAGTGCAGACCCAGCAGCCTGTGAGCAAGCTACATCCATCTCTATTACAAACTTAGAGGGCATCCCATCACGGCAAAAGAAGATATATTACCTTCTGAAACCAGTTTATAAAAACTTAAAGAGATGTTTGCCCCTTCAAATTTACATAGACCAATGCCAAACTATATTATGTCAATGTCAATGCTTTTAACACAGCACTGGAGGTATGTGACAAAAGAATTACTTTAAAAAAATGTAAAAGCCATTGAAATTTAAGACAGGTAAGCAGAAAGTTGCTATTTATAGATCACATAACATTATACAGAGAAAATTATAAACATTTAAACCTGTCTAAATTAATACTCAGTAAATCAGCACAATATATAAGTTGCGGCTCCATACGCAAACTACCTGATATAATAGATTTTTTTTAAATTTTATTTATGATAGCATTAAAATATATGTTTCTGGGCTGGGGGTGATAGCTCACGCCTATAATCTCAGCACTTTGGGAGGCTGAAGCAGGAGGATCACAAGGTCAAGAGATCAAGACCATCCTGGCCAACATAGTGAAACCCCATCTCTACTGAAAATACAAAAACTTAGCTGGGCGTGGTGGCGCACACCTATAGTCCCAGCTACTTGGGAGGCTGAGGCAGGAGAATTGCTTGCACCCGGGAGGTGGAAGTTGCAGTGAGCAGAGATTGCACCACTGAACTCCAGCCTCAGCTTGGGCGACAGAGCAAGACTCCATCACCAAAAAAAAAAAAAAAAGTTTAACATAGAGTTTCTCAAAATTATGCAGGCATTTGTGTGTCCCCGAAAGCAACAGAAAAGCAGTCAAATTACAGTCTCTTATTGCCATGAAAAGGACTTTGGTTCTCACTGTAAACTTGAAGGAGGATCACCTTAGAAAATATAAAAGCATTAGACAGAAGATAACCTATGTGAGAGCAAACTAAAAAAGTCTCAGGCTTCCCAGAAAGTATTTCCTTTGGAAACAGTTTCCCATATCACATTTTAAAGGCTGGCTTAACTTTTGGACGTGTCATCATCTGTTGTATTCACTATCTGACCTACCTGGGGGTTTGGCTACCATCGCATGACTCTTCATATTCCAGGGCTCTTTTCCTTGCTCCAGCCAGGTGATCAGGTCTGGCTTAGAGATAGCAATACCTGTTTTATTAAAAATAGATAACATAAATCTTGCTTATATTCTCCAATTACCAACAAAGTAATGTGCTCAGTAGAGAGGATGTATAGATTAGTAAATTAATCCCCAAATACTAATTTATGACAGAGGTATCTAAATATTTTTAAAATGTTTTAAATGTGTAGATCTTTCATTTAATACTGCCCAGTACTACTGAATCAAAAAATTGGTGGTGACAACACTATTTTATGCCAATAAATTTCTGGAATTACCACTAATCTAGAGTGAAGGATGTACATCAGCCTAGGAACGTGTAAAGTTCAGGTCAAAATGAAACATCTTGAAGTTCTTTTCTACACTAACAAATCTGTTTTCTTAAAAACTGGTATCTGAAACTAATTTATGCAAAGCATAAATTACCAGAAAACATTCTACAAAAAGAAATGAAATCTTTAGGGTATGCTAGGAATTATGTATTGAAGTTATCCTCACCCAAGAAGGCCAGATTTCTGTAGTTCTCTAACATCACATCTCTATATAAATTCCGCTGCGCAGTGTCCAGGCATTGCCACTCCTCCAGAGAGAATTCTATTTTCACATCCCTAAATGTCAGTGGTCCCTGAAAAACACACATAGACAGACACACATGTATTTACTAAGTTGCCATGGGCAGAATTTTTTATCTGACTTAAGGTGAAATGAGAGAGTAATGAGAACAAGTTCTGACTCACAGGAATGACTGAAATTATCCAATAATTTCCACAAAGAAATGTTTTCTAAAGTACTCTCTAACTCTGAGAAAAGAGAATGAAGATCCCCAACACCAGTATATATATGATACTTTTCTGGATGATAAAGTATAAAATTAAGGGCATGAACACAAACATACATTTTTGAGTGTATATATTTCAGATGGAAAAGACATGAGGTTCGAAGGTATCTCTCAAACTTTAATGTGTACAATAAACTGGAGATCTTGTTATGCATTTATCTTTTCAGAAGATCTAGAATAAAATCTGAGTTTCTTGATTTCTAAGAAGCTCACCAGTAATGGCAATGTTTTTTGCCCAAGAAGAATATTTTGTCAAGCACTCAGTAAGTGGAAGGAGTGTGAGTTTTCCCAGTTTTTCTGGGCTGTAAACAAATACGAGAACCCTCATTTTCCAAAGACTGTTATATGCAAAGAAAACCTAATAAAGAAGGGCAGCTACCAGATTAACTGTAACAGTTTATGCACATCAGCTGCATAAAGATACTTATTCTTCGGCCATTTGCAGTGGCTCATGCCTGTAATCCCAGGACTTTCGGAAACCTAGCCGTGTGGATCACCTGAGGTCAGGAGTTCGAGACCAGCCTGGCTAACATGGTGAAACCCCGTTTCTAGAAAAAATACAAAAAATCAGCTGGTCATGGTAGTGCGTGCCTGTAATCCCAGTTACTTGGGAGGCTGAGGTGAAAAATCGCTTGAAACCAGGAGGTGAATGTTGTTGCAATGAGCCGAGATCACGCCACTGTACTCCAGCTTAGGCAACAAGAGTAAAACTCCAACTCAAAAAAAGAAAAAATGATACTTAAAAATCAAGAGAAAAATTACTAACTCTAGAGTGAAAAAATCTGTCAGAGAGCTCTTTAGCCAAGTGAATCATTAACATCAACTGAATGAGGACAAATTTTTATAACGCGCTGATGCACAGAGGACACAGCATCACTGCTGGGCTACTGCTTCCCCATAAATTATAGCCTGAATTTAACAATAAACATCTGTTTTATGCAAAGTTCAAGATATCTCCCATGTTCTGCAATTTTTAATAGTAATTTTCAATAGTTTTTCTTTAGCATCCTAGAGAGCACCTATCTCCTAATAATTTTCTTCACAACTTTCTGGGTAATAAATATCATCCTGTTTCAAAAATCATTTT